CTACTCAGTCACAAATGGATAATTTATAGAAAAGAAGGGCTTCTTAAAAGGTAGAGCCAAAAGCAGAAGATAAAAGATTAGGAAACGTTTCCAAGGTAACAGAAATGGGCCCTAATCAAAGAACATGCATTGCCCCCAAAACAGGGGACCCCAACTAATGAGCCTAGCTCGATTTCATACTTGTTATTCACACCAGTGGGCTTCAAAGGTGGTTCAGTGGTAAAGAATCTGCCTGCTAATGCAGGAGACGCTGGTTCGATCCCTGATTGGGAAGATCACCTGGAGAAGGCAATGGCAATCCACTCCAGTATTCTTGCCTGGGAAATCCCGTGGACAGAGGAGCCTGGCAGGCTACAGTCCATGGGGTCACAAAGAGTCAGACATGACTGAGCATGCACACACATCTTACCAGTGACTGCGATGTGCCTCCCACTCCTCCTCCATATGGTGGGAGTTCTACTGATGTTATCCTGTACGTGTCTCACCATTTTACACTGAGTTTATCTTTTCATTTCCCAGGTCTGTATCAAGAGGGGCACAGTTCCTTCCATCAAGAAGTGAAGTCTCATCCTCCCAACTCCTTTTTTTAACCGGGACTGTTCTGTGGCTTGTTTCGACTAACAGAATAGTAGCAAAAGTGAAATGACTCAAGAAGCCTTGTGGCTTTCACTCTTTTCCTCTTGAAACACTGCTGCTACGGTGAAAGGAGCCCAGACTACTCCTAGGAGAGGCCACATGAAAGAGAACCTACTTTGTGCCCACTGAGAGCCCCAGGTAACCACCAGGACATCTTACACTACCCCACCCTGGCCAAGCTGCTGGGTAACTGAAGGCACATGAGTGACTCCAGACAATAACCTTTAAAACAAACTGCCCAGCTAAATCTAACTCAAATAACAAAACACTGAATAAACGTTGTTTTAAGCCACTACATTTTGGGATTACAGGCAATCATCCGTTAGTATACAAGCAGAGATTGGTTTCAGGAGCCCCTTTGGATACCAAAACCCACCGATGCTCAAGCCCCTTCTATAAACTACTGTTACGCAGTCGGCCTCCAAACCCGGGCATTCTGCACGCACTGAGTATTTGTTACCCAGCAACAGGAAACCGCTGCTGCTGCCGAGTCGCGTCAGCCGTGTCCGACTGTGCGGCCCCACAGACGGCAGCCCGCCAGGCTCCCCCGTCCCCGGGATTCTCCAGGCAAGAACACTGGAGTGGGCTGCCATGTCCTTCTCCAGTGCATGAAAGTGAAAAGTGAAAGTGAAGTCACTTGGTCGTGTCCTACTCTTAGCAGCCCCATGGACTGCAGCCCACCAGGCTCCTCCGTCCATGGGATTTTCCAGGCAAGAGTACTGGAGTGGCTTGCCATTGCCTTCTCCAGAAATAACTGAGAGAGGTAAGTAAAATAATGATGCATCTTTATTTGATGAAATATAATCAGCAGTTCAATGGAAGCTTTTTCAAAATACCGACCTGAGGAAAACAGTTGGAACTCATGCAGTTGACATGAACATAAAATACCATAAACCATAAATTACTACCAATATTTTCCAGATTAATGCTGAAAGATAAAGTTTCCAAAGTTAGACTGCCACAGAAAAACTCCTTAAAGTCCTTTCCTAGTGCTATCCAATCTCCAGTCTTAATATTTTAAATGGGTAAGAGTGCTATCCACTTGCTGTAAATGAAAACAAAATGGGTAACATCCTTGAATTATGGGCCTCTTTTTAAGACAAGGATTTCGATTTTCGACTTCAAATAAACTCTTAGGATACCACTGGTATTACTGAAACTAAAAAGACAACTTAAATAAGAACAACTTAAATATGAATTATAGGCCATTTTAAATAGATTATTTCAATAGAGTAGAATTAATTTTTGAGGTTAAAATAAAGGGGACAGTTGCTCAATTTTAATACAGAGATTTTTTTTTTTATTGGGGGGAAGCTCGTGTAGTGACAAAGCACTAGACTTCAGACAACCTGCGTCTGATCTAGTAGAACAAACTAAAGCAAACCACTTATCTTTGGCTTTGATTCCTCAGTCATGACCCACCAAACAGCTTCTAATGCCACTCTAGAAGACTCAAAGGGAATATGAATTTCATGAAATTAATAAGCCAAAATAAAATGGTTAACTATAAATATAGTCCCTTGAATTACTATTAATACTAATTATTATCTAATTAAAGCCACATTGCTTTGAGTAGTTATAACACACTAAATGTATGTTCACCTAATCCGATTAACAATCCTATAAAGAAGGTACTATTACTATATTCTACATAACAGTAAACTAAGATATAGAGGCTAAGCAACTTTACAAGGTTTTGCAGCTGGCCTGTCAGAGACAAAGCCAGAATTAAACGCAGTGTTTTTGTTTTAAACTCTCGAGCCAAAGCTTTTAAATACAATATGAGACCCTCAAGTTCCAGCACCAAACACACACAAGAATTTTGATGTCAGAAATGCAAACAGGCAAGATTATATAGTGCCATCAGCAACAGAGCAAGAATCAGGTGATCTAAATTCTAATGCCAATTCCGCACTACCCACAGCTGGATGTAAGACAATGGACAAGTTAGCAATTTAGCAGTGGAAATCAAGTAGTTTTAAATCAAGAAGAAATTAGGATGGCTGACAAATGTGAAATACATGCATTTTTCAAATATGAACTTTATTTTTGAATACTAAAATATTTCAAATATTGAAAATAAGAACAGGTTTGTAAGGAAAGTTGATGATAAGGTTAACACAAAGACGAATCTGGGAATGTTTTATATTTAAGTAGAGATGACCACAAATGCTATTTCAAAAATCAACATCTACATGAAAGGAAACCAATAGTAGCAAGAAAAAAGAATATGCTATAAAGGTAAACTTTTACTGTGAGAAGAAAAAGGCAGCTGAACTTAAATGGAAAGATAAATGGTCAGGTACACAATGATAAAACAGTCACCAAAAATAGGTAAAGGTGTACAACCAAGTCCTCTTTAGGCCTGAATTGATCTATCTTTGAAGAATTTTATGAACCTAAATAATCATTGTCTTCTGAATGCATCCACTTATAAAAAACAAGAATGGTTTATAATTTTATGCCACAGTGAATGAGTATTTAAAGCTACTTTTGGGTTTAGAATTACTACAGCAACCTTAAGTACTGCAGAAGAGGAAAAAGTGTCATGGAAACGCTATATGTGACGAAAAAGCAGTCTGTACTCACTGCCCTGTGGTGACCTAAATGAGAAGGAAATAGAAAAAAGAATATATGTATGCATACAGCTGATTTACTCTGCTGGACAGCAGAAACTAACATGACACTGTAAAGCAACTATAGTCCAATCAAAACTAGTCATTTAAAAAAAGCAGTCTGGGCTAAAAAGGCAACATTGTCTTTCCCTAACAAGAGAACTAGCTACCTAATAAAAGCCAGGAAATGGTACAGTATAATAGAAAATAGCAAAACGGTCAGATGCTAAATAAACAGCACCAATGAATTGTTTGAATTAGGAAGAGCTGACGGGTTCTCTGTGTTATACCTCAAAATATTCTAAAATAACACCCATCTAGCAAGTTATGAGATGTCGCTTCAGAATGCCTATGATTAAACAATAATCTAATCTTCCACAACATGGAATGATGGAATACTAAATACCAATTTCTAGGGGAAAAAAAAATTCTCCTCAAAGTACAATCATATTATTTCTAAAACCTGAAAGTTTCAGGCCAGGTGTATAGAATTTTCTTAGGTGATATTAGAGGCAAAGAATAACTGACTGAGTCCATTCTACATTTCTACAGGGTGAGTCAAACTGTCAGTGACAACCAGAATCATTTACTTAAGATAATCCTCCACGAAATTATCAGGCGATCAACAGGGAAGGGGTGTTTCTCCTTTTCTAGAATTATTAATAAAACCAGGAGTAGAAAGAAAAGATGTAAACTCAACAAGCCAGAAAAGCGATCCGTGTACGACCACAAATTGTTACTATTGTACTGATACATATGCAGGGAAATTAAAAAACCAACTTCAAGCAATAGTCAGAAATAAATTACACGTGCTAAACAAATGCGATCACTAAGAAACCTGAAGTGGTACTTTTTAGAAAGATAGTTCTTTGACATTGCATTCATTTAGGCGCAGATAATGAACGTCGTAGCCGCCTTCCTTTACCCGTTTCTGAAACAAGCCCTTCGGAAGCTGGAAATCTACAAGGCAGACTCCAAGAAGGAAAGCAGCTCACGGTGGAAAGGCTATCCTCGCAGAGCCCAGAGAACAGCTGACGCCCCAGGAGCTTGGGAAATATCGCGTTTACCCTACTAAGAGCGCTTGGAAAGGAAGGCGCTCGTCCACGTGCACTATTGTTTTCCAGGTGTGTTTATTTATATGGAACTTAGGCTTTGCTATCAGTACCTCCAACCTCAGGCAAACGGTGGGGAGTAGGGATGGCAGCGCCGCGTGCGGTATCCGGGAGCAACACAAGTTCATAAAATAAAAACAAAACCCTTTTTAAAATCACAATGTACTCGGCGCCCTCACCGCTCCTCCACATCGCGGCCATCACCCCATGCAGCTCCCCGCAGCCGCCGCCGCGGGTCCCCATGACAACCCCGCCGGAGGGCGAGCCCCCTTCTGCTGCGGCGTGCTGGCCCTCGGCCCGGCCCGGCAGCGCCGGCCTCGCAGGTGACGAGTCCACCTGCTCCGGGCGCTCGCCCGCCCTGCTCCCGGGTGGCGGGCCGGGAACCCCTCAGCCTCGGGAGCCCCCACTCCCGGGCCAGGGCACGGCCCTCTCCGGTCGGGGACGGGGGGAGCCCGGCCGCATGGGGAGCTCAGGAGGTCCCACTCTGACCCCCACACGAGTGACACGGGGACCGCAGCGGCCCCGCGCCTCGGTCTCAGGGGCTGAGTAGCGGGCGCCGTGGGCGCGAAGGAAACTTGTCGGTTTACACAAACAACGACGCGTCACGGCGGCGGGAGATGCTGGGGACGACGCTCACCTTGAAAGGGTTGTTGAGGTCCGGGTCGGCAAACGGGTTACTGTCGAAGTCCGACATCTCGCGCTCGGCGTCACCCACCCGACCCAGGCGCCGAGAGAGAGACGGGGCGAGGCCGCCGCCCCCTGCGCGCTCACGTCGCCGCCGCCGCCGCCGCGCAGATCCGGGGGCGGCTCGCGAGGCCGCCCGGCAGGCCGCGCCACTGAGCATGCCCGGTGCGGCGGGCCGCCGGCGCCGCGCCGCGTTCGCGGCCCCGGTCCTCGCGGCTGCGTCCCGCGATCCGGGCTTTCGCCGCGACCGAGAAGGAACGAGGGGCGGGGGAGGCCCCGAGCCAAGGTGCTCCCGGCCAAGCGCCTTACCGATGCTCGGCGTTTGAATGAGCGGGGCGTCTCTCTGGACATGGTTGTATTACTGGTTTAAAATCGGCCCCCTGAGGCCGAGCGTAATTTAGGGGAGAGATCGCGCTTTGCGGGTTAAGAAAAAGATACACTGAACCCACATCTCCAGGACGGGAAGGCAGCTGGGACGCAGGCTACACACCTCGGGAAGGAGTGGCTACTTCATGGGCGCAGAGGAGCGGGGAACCTGTCTCCAAAGACTACTCCCCGTGGTGCCCAGTCCTCGCTGATGAATTTCGCACACCCTTGACCCCACCTGGGAATCCCAGCCTTCCGGTTTTTCCGCCCCTGGGTCGCTGCCAAGTCACGGAGACCAGCCTCGATGCCACCGATCTGGACTGGCTCCGCGGAGGTTTGAGAACGAGTCGATACCAGGGTCTGACCCTTTCTACCATCCTCCAGAATCTGCAAAATGGCTACGTCTCCGGAAATGATCGCGGGGTGGCACAGGTCCAGAGATCAAGGCCTTCAAGTAATCATCTACTAGATGACAAACAGATGCCGTCTTTGTTTTCATTCAGGCCTTTGGGGGCAAAATATACACCTCTGATTTCCTAGTCACTACCCAACACCAGTGGAGAAGGGCATGGCAACCCGCTCCAGTATTCTTACCTGAAGAATCCCATGGACAGAGGAGCCTGGTGGGCTAGAGTCCACCGGGTCTGGAGCGGCTTAGCACGCACGCACGCACGCACCCAACGCCAAAGATTACCAAAAATGAGTATGATATGAAATTTGTTTGTATTCATGTGTTGTCTCACCCCTGAACTTAATGAAAGGGCATCTCTGCATTATTCCCTTCTCACCTTCCTTTTGCTCTTAACAGCAAAACACTTAGCAGACAAAGCTAGCAAAAGCCAGAATTATTTTCACTTGGAAGGAATCAGAGTTGGTTTTCTTGGTCTTCCTGCACTGTTCAAAGTCACCTAGGAAATGGTTTCTCCCCACTGTGAAAAATACTGGCTAGTGACAAGAAACAAAAAACGCATTTGCTGTCATCTCTCTTTGGTGGGATCCAGGTTGTGATATATGACAAGCTTCTAGGCAGCAGACTAGGACTGTCAACTGATAATTGACGACAGACCAGAATGATCATGGCCAAACTGCAGGATTGTGGACATGGAAAACAGCATACAAATCTAATGCACTTGCACTCCTAGCCTCAGCAGCTCCCAGGAGTCTAGTTTATAGCTGAGTGCTCAAAACATGTGTGGAGTTCAAACCCCAATTTTAACACTACTTGTGCCACACACTTCACCTCTCTTGAGTTTGTAAAGGGTTATTTAAGACCTATTTGAAATAAGATAGAGAAAAGTTGCCTGCAGGTATTTAGTGCCTAACAAATACTGTTGAATATTTGAAAATGCTAAGGGGGCCCAGTCCATCTTTCTTAAATATGTTTCCTCCTCATGCCTGAGCATGGATTGACTTCTTTCACCACGCTGGCCCTCACTCCCTTCACCTGTCCTTCAAATGACTCAGATAATCAGCAGCTGTTTATTATGCATCTACTATGTTCCCAGATCAGCTGAGTCTGCATTTCTGGATGGAAATTTCCAACTATGCTGTGTTCACACCTAATGATATTAGCACTTAATGCAAAATTTTACAGATTTCGTTGTTACAGAATCCCTTGGAATATTTGTTAATGATGCAGACTCTCACCTCCCTGTATCACCTACCCCTGAGATTGGCTTTACAATAGGAGCCATGGATTTGCTTTTTTTTTTAATTTAACTGTAGGAAAAATGCTCTACAGTGTTGCGCTGCTTTCTGCCTTACAACAATGCAAATCAGCCATAGTTAGACATATATCACCTCCGTCTTGGGCTTCCCTGGTGGCTCAGAGTGTAAAGAATCTGCCTGCAATGTGGGACATCTGGGTTCCATCCCCAGGTTGGGAAGAGCTTCTGGAGGAGGGCATGGTAACCTAGGCCAGTATTCTTGCCTGGAGAATCCCCATGGCCAGAGGAGCCTGGTGGGCTACAGTTTATCAGGTTGCAAAGAGTCGGACACAACTGAGTGACTAAAAACAGCACAGCACCTCCCTTTTAACCTTCCCTCCCTTCCGCCTATGCTTCCCCTCTCAGTCATCACAGACCACCAGACTGGGCCTCCCTGTGTTATATAGCAACTTCTCAGCAGCTATTTATTTTACACATGGCAGTGTATATATGTCGATGCTACTTTTTCCATTCATCCCACTCTTACATATTTATTCTATTTTTAAATGCCTTTACATATGACTATATTCTTTTACATAAATACCTAAATGAGTTCATAGCATACTCACTAATGTTTTTAACTTTCTTAAATTTTTCTTTTTTGTTTTCCTTCCTCTCTATTCTTATGATACTGTATATCTACAAGCATATAATGGAACTCACATAATCATATGCAGATATAATACATATTCATGCAGGTATGCTTATACATAAGTCATACAGAATTTTGGTATTGTTTTGAAAAAAAGGGTCTTTTTTTTGTGTGCAAATTGTTTTTCTCATTCAATAGTAGTTTTTCAGTGAGATGGGCATTGACAAAGAGACAATCTATGGTTTCTTACCCCAGTACACCACATAAATATTTATCTTTTTATGTGTACCATTACTATAAAGGTGAAAAGTGCTGGGAAGCACAGCTTAATGGAAATACCTCCAAATCAACACGTATACATCTATTTATTCTTTACAACAGTTACAAAATCAGTATAAAGGACCCCAGGTGATTCTGTTAGGGGTGATATAATGACCATACTTCAAGGACAAAGGATATTCAGACATATGGTCCACAGGTGAGTGTGTTAGTACCTTTCATGAAATTTAGAATTACAGGCCATGAGAACTGAAAGAACCTTTAGCCCCTCTCAAGACCGAAGAAGAAACTTAGTTTGAACATTTAAGTCATTTGCCTCAGTTACAAAGGAAGTGAATGGAGGAACTAGAAAAAGAGGTCAAATGTATCAAATCACATTTGAGACATTAAATGGATAGATTTTGGTTGGTACTATTTCATAGAGGAAGAAGAATGCTATGTGCAAGGTAGAGAGAAAGCATACGGGAGGCTTTATTTGTTGGAGTAGTTCATTTTCTAGGAAGGATGGACAGGTGCTTACACGCGCTCAGTTGTGTTCGACACTGGGGCCCCACCAGGCTTCTCTGTCCATAGAATTCTCCAGGCAAGAATACTGGGTTGCCATTTCCTTCTCCAAGGGATCTTCCCAACCCTAGGATCGAATCCACCTCTCTTGCGCCTCCTGCACTGCAAGAAGGTTCTTTATACCACTGCCCCACATGATCGAGCAAATGAAGAGTCAGACTAGTTGCTCTGGCATAAATCAACTCTGTGACCTTGATCACATCAGTTCACCTCTCTGACCTGAGTTTCCATGCTAGTCAACAAGTACTTACTGAGAAACTACTGAGTGGTGAGTATTGTATTAGATAGTGGGGATAAAGCAGTGAACAAGTTGTAAGGGTAGGGTCTATTCCCAAGAAACTTTGTAAACCTAGAAGGCCCAGAACAGGGCTAAATGATATCTCAGGTCCTTTTTTCTCCCCCAAACCTGTGCCCCCAGCGTTGGAAGCACAGAGTCAACCAGTGGACTACCAGAAAAGTCCCTCGTGTCCTTTAAACAGCTCTAACATTCTATTAGAGGGCTTCCCAGGGGCTCAATGGTAAAGAATCTGCCTGCTAGTGCAGGAGACAGGAGATGCGGTTTCAGTCTCTGGGTCTGGAATGTCCCCTGGAGAAGGAAATGGAAACCCACTCCAGTATACTTGCCTGGGAAATCCCGTAGACAAAGGAGCGTGGTGGGCTATAGTCCATAGAGTTGCAAAGCATCGGACATGACTGAGCACACACACAACATTCTGCTAATCAGCATTCTTTTAATTTCTGCCCATTCTTTTAGCTTCGGTCATACTCCATCATCATACTGCTCCCTCAGCCTGACACATTTAACCTGTGAATCCTTTGGGCAAGGGCTTAGTCTGAATTCCATGTTTCCTGTACTGACAGCTGTTGAGAATTGAGAAGACAAGTTGGAAATTTGTATTTCCAACCTCAAAAGTTTCACTGGACTCTGGGTTCACAAATGGGTTAAAACTGAAACCCATCATCTCTTGCAGAAGACTCAGTCTCCAGCTGTGCTGCCATGTCCGCTGCTACTGATACCAACCACGCACCCACAGGAGCATTTGTGGCCTCTGTTCAGCCACCATCTATACTTCAAGAAAGTATCAAAGGAGTTGAAGGCGCTGTGTGGTAGGCCTGATAATAGTCCCTCAAAGATGTTAACATTCTACTCATTGGTACCTGTGAATATGTCACTTTCCATGGCAAAAGGGACTTTACACATACAATTAAGGTTAAGAACTTGAGATGGGGAGATTATACTGCATTATGCAGGTAGACCCAGTGGAATCACATAAGTCCTTAAAAGTGGAAGAGGAAAGCAGAGAAATTGTCCGTTTTGCAGATGGAGAAAGGAGGTCATGAGCCAAGGCATGTGAGTGGCCTCTAGCAGCTGGGGACAGCTCTCAGCTAACAGCCAAGTAAATGGAGATATCCATCCTAAAACCAGGAGGATAAATTCTGTCAACAACCTTAGTGAGCAAGGAGACGATTCTTCATGAGTGTTCAAAAAGGGATTCAGCCTCA